TGCTGATTTGGCCACCCTGCATCCAAAGTGATTTAAATACTCCGCATATTGATAGCAGCTCCCTGATGCGCGAAAATTATAATCAATATTGGAATGTTTGTGTGAGGCGGCGGTAATGGTAAGAAAAATCAGCGGGAGCGGGATTAAGAAAACAGTTTTTTTACAATACAAAAGCGCACACAATGAATGGCAACTGTAGAAAGCAAAAGCCGAATCCCGGTTTATTTAATTGTAGTTTAGAAATTGTAGTACTTAAATTAGATAAATGTATAAAATTTATTTATTTCAGTTACAACATTTCTTCCTATTTTTCTTTTTTATATATTTCTATGTAGAGGCCAAGGCTGCTGCGGTGGCAGAGCTCAGGCGGTCAGGCGCGGGACGGCCTGTATCTGATCCGCCCCGGAGACTCGCCCATCGCCATCCGTGCAGGAGGAGTCAATTAACAGAATCATGAATCTGTAGAGTCAGTTAATAGAGTCGTGAATCAGTAGAGTCACTCAATAGAGTCGTGAATCAGTACAGTCAATCAATAGAGTCATGAATCAGTAGAGTCAGTTTCTCGGTTGTGATTCTGCCGTTGTTCTGTCTCAGAGTTTCCGCGGGACTGTTACAATCTGTGGCAGAGCTCCGGCGGTCAGGCGCGGGACGGCCTGTATCTGATCCGCCCCGGAGACTCGCCCATCGCCGTCTACTGCGCCGTGCAGGTGGGCGGCTAGACTGTGGTGCAGCACATCACGGTCAACCGCAGCGTGGACTTCGACCGCGGCTGGGACGAGTACAAGCATGGCTTTGGATCCCTAAGCGGGAACCACTGGCTGGGGAACGAACACTTGCACTGGCTGACCCGAGACCCGGCCCGGTACAAGCTCGGCATCAAGCTGGTGGACGAAGACGCCGTGACCAAGACAGGCGAGTACGAGCTGGCGCTGGTGGAGGACTAGGAGGCGCAGTGCCGTCTGCGTCTGGGTCTGTTCCAGGGCACTGTGGCGGATGCTCTGACGCTCGACACTGACAACTACCTGCACGACAACAAGCGCTTCACCACCAGAGACCTTGACAATGACAACTACTTCCAGAACTGTGCCCAGCTGCAGTTCCAGGGCGTGCTGGTGGTGCGACGCGTGCGCTGTCGCGAACCTGAACTGCAGGAACGACATCTACTGGCAGAAGGACTGCAACAAAGAGCACCTGAGCAAATACACCTGGATGATGGTGAAACCCTCAGAGCAGCTCAAAGTGATTAGCTCCGGAGAGTGTGCGAGAGATGAACTCTGATCCACTCCGAAAAAAAACTGTCCAGTTATCGTGAATTAACCCAAATCAGGAGATTTGTGTTTGAGGGAATAAAAGGAATAAAAGAATCAGAGTCAATTAATAGAGTATTGAATCACTGGACTCAATCAATAAAATCATGAATCAGTAGAGTCACTCAATAAAGTCATGAGTCAGTAAAAAAAGGGAAATTCTTTGAAAACGCACCAAAAAAAAAAAAAATTTGGATGCAAAATAAATATTTATCAATATTTATGAGAAATTTTATTTGAATGCATCATTGTATGAAATTTATAAGAACATATAATCTGTAAATTATCAGTATTAATGCCATTGGAATGAATGGAATTTAATTAAATTAATTTGAATTTATAACTTATGATTGCTCAAATTCTTGAAACTTACATATTTATTTCTAACAAAAGACCAAAACAACATCAATATTACTCTGAAAAGTTTTCAAATAAAATAAATTCATTTTACTTGCATGACAAAGTGATGAATTTGTCATGTTTCGACGTTTCATTAATAGACGTGCATATTCATGTTCATCAACAAAATTCAGTCCAAAAGTGCGTGAGATATTAGGAAAAGCCCAAATATATTTTAAATAAGTTTTAAATAAGTTTAAAACAATTTAACTTAGTTTTACAGAAAGTATTTTTGACACTAATGGTGCTCCATACATATTCAGATCAAAGTGACCCGGACATGAAACATTTTTTTTAAATGGTTGTATCCCTTAAAATGTAATAATACAAAATCTGGGGGGGGGGGGGGTTTTTGGGGGTCTTGGAAAATTTGCAAGTTTTTTTCCAT